GATTGGCGGGGATCTCAGGCTGATTTTGTTGGTCAGTCATTTGTAGATCACCCGTGGGGTCTGCGCAGGGTGGTGCACAAGTATGCGGTTCATCCATATGATCCTGGTCAGCCATTTGCAAATCCCTCGTGGGGTCTACGCCATGCGGGATTAAATGCAGTCCAAGCAGATCATGTTCCAGTATATATATATATTGTAATAAAATACTTTCACCTATGAATACAAAGAAGAAGAAGAAGAAGAAGAAGAAGAAGAAGAGGAAGAAGAAGAAGAAGAAGAAGAAAGAAGAAACAAATCTCTCTCTCTCTCTCTCTCTCTCTCTCTCTCTCTCTCTCTCTCTCTCTCTCTCTCTCTCTCTCTCTCTCTCTTACTGGCGACAACGGTGACGACTGCAGGGTGATGGCGAGGTCGCCGACGGCGATGACTGTGCTGGACAGGCGGGGGGGTGAACAAATTTCCCCCATTTCACACACTTCTGTTCTGAAAGCATAACATCCTCCCATTCATGTGTGCATCTTGAAGTCCAGATACCCCACAGTGCTGACTTCCTACCCAGTTGAAACCAGTTAGCTATAGAGCCCCATATCCTGTAGTCTGGACAGTGTGCCAGGAGAATGGCCTTCCGCTCCCATGGCCAATTTGGCTCTCTCGTAAGCCATCTCCAAATACTGTCCCACCATCTCCATAGCAGGACTACCATAGGGCAAGAGAGAAAGAGGTGCTCCAATGCTTCCCTGATTTTCCTCTGGCGAAATTCTGATTGGCAGCTCTTACACCATGGAAGTAAAATGTCCTTTTCTATCAGGTCAGAATGGTCCACCAGCCAGTCGCATAGGTGCTATCTTCAATTGTACAGCAGATGACTTTGCCAGATTACCTTTGTAATCTTTGAAGTACCCTATCCCTTGCAGAGTCCTGATATCAGTGTTGAGGTGACTTGCCCAGCGGAGTGCCTTGCACAGCCCGCAGACTGCAGGCGATGATGTGAGGGACGCTGGGCCTGGTTCCCAGCATATAATAAGCTGTTTTTTTTTTTTTTTTTAACGAAAAACAAAGAAAAGAAGACTGTGCAGGTCGAGGGTGGGCTAGGAGTGGAACTTCGGAACCAAAAGAACAGCAGAATTTGGTACCTGAAGGTGGATGGTTCTCCTTTCCAGATCACCCTCAATTGCCTTGGCTGCAGTCAACTGTGTGGTCAGGTTCACGATCCGTTGTTCCTGCTCATTGTCGTCACCGCCCTGTCATCAGAATGCCACCAGTTGCACCCACATATCAACTACTCAACAACCATGGCTATGCAAAAAGAAGATAGAGAGTCAAGTCCACATTATCCTTGTCAAGAGCGGGGGAGGGGGGAGGGGTGGCATGCGGTGGGGTGACGAAGGGTGCAGAAAAAGCTATGCATGTACGACACTAGCACTCCCCACTGTTCATCCTCCACTCATGCAAATTTTGGCAAGATGAACTCCATCAATAGAGAATGATCATTGTTTTAAAGTTTGAGCACATTGCGGAATCCCTGAAAGGCACTAGATTGACACTTTGTAATCGCATTCAAATCAGTGCATGAATATAGAAGTTGGATTGGAATTGGAATTCCGACGGGCCAAGACAGTTGCACACCGTCAGAGAGGAAAGATACTCCAATGAGTGCAAACATGTTCATGTAGACCAGACAGCCTGTTGCAGCTTCTCTTGCAAGAAAACAGGAGGGAATGCCAAGGAAGAATTCCTCTCTTCTTTTTCCCTTTTTGCAAAAGTTGATTATATGAATTTATATCTCACGTTTGTGATTCTCTGAGAGAAGTTGTTACCTTCTTCTTTTTTTTTTTTTTTTTTTTGCCCCTTCTATTCTGGGGGGCGTCAGTCCGGTTGCTTATTACTGGCAAGCATTTTTTTACAAAGACATATGAGCACAAGAACGAAGAGTAAGAAATCAGACCAGCCCTCCCCTTGTGACACTAGTCGCCTAAGCAAGGGGGGGCTTGCTATGGTCCATCCCAGCCCCCAAACCATGGCCTTTCCTGGACGGCTCTCCTGCTGGCCGGGAAGCTTACTGGCAGCACCCAGTCACGCAGCGGGAGGGTCCCAGGAGGGTCCCAGGAGGGCGGGGTGCCGGGGGGTGTCCCTAGCAGCCTCACAGGCCGCATGTAGCTAGCTCTTTTCCAAGCCTTCTCATTGTCTCAAGATTCGTTTCTAGCAATTCCTATCCCATCTCCAACACCTCACATGTACACCTTGTTCCTATTACTTTTTTTTTTTTTTTAAATTTAAAACAGAACCTCTCGATTCTGGCTCCTGCCATTCTGGGGAGCAACAGTCCGGTTCCTATTCCCCCTGCAAGTCAAATATGAATACAATGAAAACACATGCACGCTCCTCCCCATTCTGGCTGAGAGGCCCGAGTGGACGGCATTGATTACTTCCCTAGGGAAGAATGTACCACCCCTCACCCCTGCCTAAGTTAGCCTATATCCTCTACCTTCTGATCCTCTGAGTCGCCTGGCTCCCAGCTCCTCTCAGCTGAGTGCTGCCGGATAAACCTGAAAGCTAGAGCTGATGTCCAGAGCTGGCATCTAAGGGTTTGCTTGCTCTGCCGGGTAATGTAAAAAACTTATCTGAACTGCGGTTTCTACATTTTGCCTTCTCTTAAACCCTAAACCCTAAGCTTCTTGGGACGTTTGTTGTACGCAGTTTGTTTCTTGAGTGTTTCTCTTGGAAGGCTCTATTCCTAGTCCTTCATTGATTTACCTGTTCCTAGATTCTAAAAATGTAAAACAGGTGCTGTTCTTAAGCTCGAAAACCCTAAACCCTGAACCCTCTTCCTCTCTCTAGCTTGGGGTGTGAGCCCTTCCTTTCTCTCCGATGACTGTTTTTACTACTACTTTCCTCTAAATTTCCCTTTTTGAGAACACGCTCATGCTCCTCCCCCTTCTGGTGTGGAGGCCCTAGGGGCGGCATTGATTGCTTCCATCAGGAAGGATATACCCCCCCTCACCCCTGCCTAAGTTAGCCTGTGCTACTTTTCTCCTATCTTTTACTAATCGGGAATTCCGTTCGCTCTAGTGTTTGGGGTTTGATTTTTGTGTTCCTTCCGGTCCGTGCCTCTCAGCTCCTTGGCTGCCTGTTTTTCTGTCTGTGTTAGTCCTGCTGATAGGGCTGCTTGTGTTAAATTCTGTTTGCGCTGAATTCTGTGAGGTTTACACTTGCTGCGGTCCTTGCTATAACCCTGGCCCTGGCTCATCTACTTATTCTTGTAAGCCGTGTCTGTATCTGTTGACGTAGGGATTTTGGATTCTTGAGGGGGTTATGGTGGTGCTCTGCAGGTTTAGTGAATCTTTCTTTTGAGGTGCTAGGTGTGGCATACTGCGCAGCCACACAGGCCCTGCAGGGCCCGTCCCGGACATTCAGCCTAAAAGCCTAAAACTTAGGGCTTACAGGCCCCGGTCGTTTCACCCTGAAAGCTGAAAAACGAGGCCCTGCAGGCCCTACCCCGTTTCAGCCTATTTCTGGGTCTTTTCAGACCCAGAATTTTCAGCCTGAAACGGAGGGCCATTTTCAGGCCCTCATTGTTTCGACCTGCCCCTAAGACTCAGGCACGTAAACAGGGATACGGAACAGGCCAGAAATAGCCTGTTCCTCACGAGTTTGAGCAGGAGCTGCAGCTGCAGCCCCTGCCTCCCTTCGGCAGGCTCAGGAGGCACACCCGGTAGTACATAGGAAGTTCCCATGCACTTCACGGGTAGGTAGTTCAGTAGTCACGAGGTAGTCTTCAGGATTTCGGCCGCAGCACTCAGGAGGAGCGCTGCAGTAGTCTTCAGCGATAGGCAGTAGGTATTAGCGCTAGCTGTAGTCTTCGGCGCTGGGCGCCATAGCTGTAGCTGTAGTCTTCAGCGCTGGGCGCTGGTAGGTGGTAGATCGTAGAGTGGGAGAGAGACTGGCGGAGGCCAGTGGTACTTACCTGTGGCGCCATCGCTCCAGCTCCATCTTCGTGGTACCTGCATCAAGGCGCCAACTTCACAGGTTAGTACTGGACATAGAGAGAGAGAGAGAGTTCTTCTTCTTCCTCTTCTAAGTCCACCTGCATCAAGGCGCCAACTGCACAGGTTAGTACTGGACATAGAGAGAGAGAGAGAGTTCTTCTTCTTCCTCTTCTAAGTCCACCTTCTCTTCTCACCCTCTCGCCACCTGACTTCTCAGACTACGACAGAGAGAGAGAGACAGAGTTGTGACTTGAGACTTGACGACATTGGATCCAGACTTGACATTTGGGATTCAGGCATTTCGACGAGGGACTATTTGGGCTTGTGCCGAAGACTTGGTGTTGACGACATTCCCATCTTCCCCCTCCTCTTCGTCTATCCCCTTCCTCTTCGTCTGTGTATGGTATGGGCTGGCGCAGTCTTCCTGTGTGAAGCGCAGACCCATTCACACCATGTAACGATGATGATGATGTATGATCAGGGCTGCATTACAACATTGATTGTTCGGATCACTGGTATCTAAGTCTTCCTCTGTGCTATCTTGTACTTTGTATTGAAAGGTCGGTTCTTGTTCTGGTCTGCACGTTACAGTATGCAACATAGGTTTCCTTATGAGGTTCTGCATTTGGTACTAAGGTTGGTTCATTGGGGGTCCTATGGTTGGGGTATTTGAGGGGCTAGGGTCTAGTCTGTTAACGTGAGATCAGGTAGTTGGGTGCTCCTGTTCTAGGTTGATATGCTGTCACTGTTTTAGGGCTATCTGATGCTGTTTGGTTTGTCTAAACCGAGCCAATTGACATTCCTGTGACATGGGATCTACTTTGAGGCGGGTCTGAGGACTGCGGTATGGTTAGTCTATTGTGTCTCCATTGTCTGAACTGTAATCTGTTCTGGGTGATTATTGCTATTCTCCCTTCCCCTAGCTGCTTTTTGTTAAGAACTTCAATAATTTTGTCTCTATCGACTAGATTCTTCTCTATTTTCTTACACACTCTCTTCCAGCGCCCTCTGTATTCGATCTCTAATATATTTAGGACTGCTTCCCATGTTTCCTGCACCTGTATTGACGTGCGGTCTAACGTCTCTTGACATCTTCTTTTCCATATCTTCCATAACGTTGCCAGACGTAGAATGCGAAAGAAAATGGTCTCGTGCCCCTGCCAATTGGGTAGGATGTGCAGGGCCAGCAGGAGAGTAAGAGGGTCTGTAGGGAGGGTTTTGTTTGTGATTGTATGCTAGAGATCGTTTGTGTTGGACCAAAGTTGCTTGCTTTTGGGAAGTGTATTAGGCAATGGCCCACATCTTCTACGCGACCTTCCGAGCAGATTGAACATAGCTCATGTAACGGGGTCCTGGCTCAACCATTGGTTAACTGGGAGAGCCAGGTGGGCGAGTAGCCACTGGAAACTTCTAATTTCGACTTGGTTGATATTTAGAAACCCAGTCCAGGGGATGTTCGAGATACGATTTTGGGTGAGATCAAAATGTGTCTCCCATCTTTGGCCTACGATTTGGGTTATGGGCTGCGACCTTGTCCTTAGTGTGTAGCCTAGTTTGGTTGTGTATTCCAAGATGTTGGTGCATTTTTCTATGTTGAGCCTCCCTGATTTCCTTTTCCACGCCCATTCCACTGGGCCAATCTCCAGGTCCGTGATATTGGTTTGTGAATTGTTGATTCGGCGGTCTTGCGTTTCTATTACCCTCACCTTCCTTAATATTTGTTCATGCCAGGCCACTTCCCCTGTGGAGTTTTTGCTTAGTAGGCTTGTTGATGCGCCTGAGTCCTCGATTGTGTAAATATCGCAGATGAGCCACTAGTTTCCTGTGCCTTCCCTGGTTCCGAACTGATAGGCTGTCTTCAGTGGGCTCTAGGCCTTCTCCGTAGCCCAGTCTATGGTTGAGATTCTCTTGCAGGTTGTGGCAACCTTTTAGCTGTTCCCTTAGTTCTCCTGTTGTCTTCCATCTCGATTCCTCGTTGTGCCAAAGGTGCTTGATCTGCCATACCCCTTTTTCTACCCACGATCCCCATCTCGAGTCTTTGGCTGTTAGGGTCCAAGGTTTCCCTTGTGTGTCCAAAATCCACTGGTTGCAGAAGAGTGGTTGTCTGAGCACTTCTTCCTTGGCTGTGGGTTCCCTTACTTTCGCTGGTAATATCTCTCTCCATGTTTTCAGTAGGTTTCGCCAAAAGTCATTATCGTCTACTTCCTCTTCTTCCAATTCTGTTGTTCTGATTGTGCCCCTCATTGCCCATGATT